ATTTTAAAGCCTTTTCATTTGCAGTTAATAGACCAGAAAATACTGATTATAAAATGGTTCCTGGCAGTGATGTCTCTTGCAAGCTTACTAGGTTAATGATCACACAGCAGAGCCATGATCCTTGCATGCTTACCTTAGCTTTTAAAAAATTAGTCTTGCTTCATACATTTCTGAGCAGCAGCTGGGGAATCCTATATTTCAGGGGGTGGGGGAAACTCATAGCGTGACATGCTGTAATTATAATCACCTAGCAAAATCTCATCAAATTTGATGAATTGCAGGGTGATGGGCGATGAACAGAGAGCTCCATCTTCCTTTCTCCCAGTAAGGTTCAGATTCTTTTCATCCCTTCCTGTTCCTCATTCTCTAGCTCTGCCCCCATATCCCAGCAGTGGTTATTCTGCCCCAGCTCCTATGTCGAGGGAGGCAGACAGTTCTTACCAACATGCTGGTAAGAGGGTATTGCCTTGTTCTTCATTTCCTGCTAGCACTTTAGTCACAACAGCTAATGAGGAGGATCTGTTGGATCAACTTCCTAGCATTGCTTTTTTTGAGTGGGGGTGGATACTCTAAAATACACAGTTGGGCAATGCCATCTGTCACTAAATAGGGGCAACATTTCTAGTTCTATCGAACTCTTCATCAGGCAAGATACTACACCAAGGTAGGAGGTAGTGAGGATAAGGGATGCTGGAGACCTCTGACAGAAACTGGAGAGGAAAATGCTGATGTCCACTTATTTGTCCAGTGTCCAGAATGGAAATCAATCCAGCAAATATGATCAGTTGTTGCTGCTTTCCATCTTCAGATGATACATAATGGATGACTCCCCTTTCCCTAAGTTCAATTGTGTTTCCTTTGTATTGTATTGAAGTGAATGGCCTGTGCATTGAAATGAATCATGGGGCATAGCATAATAATACTGTGATTAATAACATCATTAGTTATGTAATTAATTGTGTAAAATTACACTACAGTGGACACTAAGAAAATAATGCAGTTTTTGTCAGAAGCTGAACTGCATCAGAACAGAAGCACTGTACATAACGAACATGGGTCTGAATGGAAATCAACACCTTCTTGCATCCCTAGCAGGGATGTGGTGGTGGTGGTGGGAATTAAAAAGCAAAAAAGTATAAAAATTATTCTGGATGTTATGAGCTTTTAGACTCTGTTCCAAAACTGTACACTTAAAAAAATCTCTGCTCGTTGTTACAGATACAGTACCAAGTTACACAGCATTTCTGAGAACACAAAGGCCGCCCATTACTCAGCTCCCTCAACACATCACAAGTTGATACACACAGGGCCCTAATTAGGCACAGAGCAAAAACAAAGAGAAGCACAGCAATCTGTATTTTAGCAAAGCTGATGATTAATTCTGTGTGGCGCTAGGTGAGAGAGTCAAGTGATGCCAAATTGACTAAAAAGGTATTTTCCAAGGCACCTAAAAATGTAGCTATGTTGGTGTATAAGAAAAAACAACAACCTGCAAAATCTACAGCTGGGCAATGTAAATGAGGCATCAGGCATAAGCCTGCATTTTATTAATGTTTGATCAGGGCTTGTATATTAAAGAGAGAGCTTAAA